TTATATTTGTTTAATTTTATAGATCTAAATACTTTTTGGTTCAAAAAATATTTAGGGGCTTAATCGTTCAAAATATGAATGTTCATTGTATGGGTGTTCAAAAAAACCGTTGGACCACTTAAACCGGCCGAACCAAGTCAAACCGGACCGTTTTTGGCGGTTTGAGCAGTCTGGCGGTTTGGTTTGGTTTGGAAAATAGTAAAATCGGGCGGTCTGGTCCGGTCTGCGGTTTGGAACCTTTTTTGGGCAGTTTGGACCAAACCGACCGCCAAATATATGTGTGTGTGTATATATATATATACACATACATTATTTAATTATTTATTTTAATATTAGCAAGCCCAATTTTTTTAACTTATGAACTATGGTTCAAATATATATCTAAGTCCAACATAAAGTTTAACATCTAACATAATCAAAATGGATATTTAATCTAAAATTGTAAATTATATATGTTTTTTTAAGTTTAAAATTTAAAGTCCATTAAAGGCCCAAACCGCCTAAACCGGTCAGACCAGACCGCCTTTTCGTGGTCTGGTTTGACCGGTCTGGACACTTGATGTCAAATCGCTCGGTTTGAAAATTTTATAAACCGCCATTACGATTTTGGTTTATGGTCTGAGAGGTTAAACCGCCCAAACCGGACCGCGAACACCCCTAGTTCATTGGGTTTTTTTCCCGATTTTTTCACTATTTTACCACTTTATTTTTTTCAAAAAGTTATTTAACATGTTTTGGATTGTTCAAGGAATTATTTGTTCCAAAAATTGTCCAAGGACTTATTTAACATTTTTTGAAATGTCTAAGGACTTATTTAACATATTTTGGAATGTTCAAGGATTTATTTAACATGTTTTGGAAAGTTCAAGGACTTATTTGTTCCAAAAAAAAGTTCAAGGACTTAATCATTCCAAACAAGAAAGTTCATTGGTTTTTATTGTACTTTTCCCTTTATTAAATTAAAATGGTGTTATAAGTAACAATTTGTCTGATAATTTTAACTAGATTTCTCATTCTAACTTGTTGGTTAAGATTCATGATCATTGTCTTATTTATTTGTGACTTGATAAGTGCTTATCGGTAAATGTTTAGTAAATGGTTTTTTAGTTGAAGTATATGATTGTTATTTTATGGTCGTTGTAAGTGGTGTTTGTATGAAGAAAAAAATGATATAAAAAAGGAGACTGTTAGTTGTTCTTACTTTAGTGTTAAAATTGGTCAATTTATGCATTAATAATGTGAAAATAGGTTTTGATATCTTAAGGAGGAAAGTATTAGTTAAGGTTATATATATATATATATTAAATACAACCAATCGTATTGTTACAACCAATGCAATCCCAATTCAAATTGTCTATTTAGTACTTTTTTTTTTCATTTTTGAAATTGTTAAGGAGTAATATCGAAAATTCTAAATATAATATAATTATTTTATTTTTAATTTTTTTGTAATAATTATCCATAATTAATGAGATTGTATTCAAAAATATTAAAGGGCCGTTTACTAAACACTTACCCGGTAAGTATTTATCGAGTAATTTTTCTCACTAGATGAACATTACAAGGGTCTTTACCTGATAAGAGCGATTATAAGGATAGAGAGTCTTATCCGGTAAGTGAGGGTGACGACTAAGCGCTTACAAAGTAAATTGTTGTATACGATACGTTTTGAAGTATTACGATCTTACCCAATAAAATAAATTATAATGTTGATTCTTTATGTTAAGCACTTAGGTAAACGGCCCCTAAGATATCCTAGTTAATACATTGGTCTTAATAAACCTTCAAGGCTTGTTTGACGGCATTGTTTGCTGTTTTAATGTTTACGACCTTGAAAATAAAACATAAATGTTCAACGTATATTTGAACTTCTGAAAAAAACCAAAACCAAAGTAGAATGGTTTGTTAACTTTAACTACCACTACCTTTCAACTATCAACATCATATTAGATTTTAATCGCAAACAAACAAGAAAGATGGTCGAATTTAAGCTTCTTTTACAAGGTTGGACATGGAAATCTGGAGTTGATGGATTTCTAATACTCCGCCTAGTATAAAACATTACATTTTGCAATTTGATACAAGATAAAACAAGATAGCATGTCTCTAACATATAGAGGGTACATATATGACACAATAGACAGATAGACATACATATAGATAGATACGACACTAGGGCAAGAAGCTTTCAAGAAGAGTGCAAAGTGCCATTAAGGATATAGACCAAGGTTAAAGATAAAATATAGAGCATGTATGCAACAAATGATGTCCAGATTGGGAACTTTGATCGAAAACTTGCAAGAAGACCCATTGTCGCACACACGACAAGCACAATCAACACCTCGAAGGAGAAATTCCAAGTCAACCCACGGAAATATATGATCGATGAGAGCACTAACATTCCAAGAATATTGTTCATCAACACTCCATGGTATATCTGCATATAGAGTCGGACCCAAAATCACAATCAAATCTAGCTCAAAAAGTCCCCGGGCCTTTGAAAAAGCCAAGATAGGACATGGTGGAAGATATTGTGGGTCTCGTCAAACTGGTCTTTGATTGGACACTGAACAAGTCTAAAAACATCTCCGATAGTTTTTTTATACTTTCTTCAGAATAGAGAAGTAAAAGTCTAGTCTTCAACAAAAAGTTGTTGATAAAAAACAATCTGATATAAATATTTAACCACATAAATACGTATATATTAGAGTTGTTCATGGACGAGACGACCCGTTTAACTGGCCCATCTTTCCCGCTAGAAATACGGGCTTGGACAACCATTATCGAGAAATGAACGGACAGGGGTTTGTTCATTAAAATTAATGGGTAGACATGGATTATGTAAAAATAAATATGGACAAGTCCGCCCGGTCGGTTTATGTTTTATAATTAATATTTTTTACCATTAATTAAAATTATACTAATATATTTTAAAATTAAATTATTAGAGTTATAGAATGGAAGTTGGGACTCTTTGGTTTTTCTTGAAAACCCAAAATGCTCAACAATAGATAGAGTCAGTAATTGTTTAAAACTTTAATTGTAATGGTATTTTTGTTTTACTATTTTGTTTCACATTTGTTAATTATGAGTTACACTTTTTTAGACTCGTTAGCACTGGGAAAGATTGGCCCATTTATGGGGCGGGCAATGGCAAGTTGTCAATCCCGGAAAAAGGGCTTGGATTTACAATATTAGCCCCGTGGACAAAAAAACAAGTTGCCTATTTTTTTAGAGCCATAAGACTATTTTTTTGCATTTGAAACTTTAAACGCTGTGAAGGTAAGGTTCACAATATTTTTGCTGTAAATGTTCGATTTTTTTTATCTTCACAACGTTTTTCTATGAAGTTTCAAGTGTAGAAAAGTGGTATCACGAAAACATATTGGTCTCACGTAAACCCAACCCTATATATATACACATACACACACATACACACACACACACACACATATATATATATATATATATATATACATACATACATAGGGTTGGGTTCACGTGAGACAACATTTTTACACCTCAAACTTCACAACAAAACATTGCGAAGGTAAAAAGAAGCCGAACCTTTACAACAAAAACACTGTGAAGGTTACTTTCACAGTGTTTCGCTGTGAAGTTTCAAGTGTAAAAATGTTGTCAAACATGTCTCATGAAAACAACCTTGTCTCACATGATCCTAACTCTACATACATATATACACACACACACATACATACACACACACATATATATATATATATATCTATATATATATATATATATATATATATAGACAAAGGATCGTGTGAGAAAGATAGTCAAGATGAGAAGTGTAAGAAGAGATATGAACCCTTGATCACCTTTTATCTCAAACCCGCCCAAGAATTCTGCTTGATACAGGGATTGATGAGGTGCATCTTGTTGCATCTCATCTTAATGTGCATCCAAGGGGTAGAGATCCCTTCATACGTTTCTTACGCTAACCCTCATTCTCACCGGAACCCAATCATATACATATACGCACATGCCTTTTACTATTACTAGTCAATGATATTAAATAACTTCAGTTATGTTATATATACTAAAAACTAAAAGGTAAGACACCAAAAAGGTAAGAAAACTCAAATATCGCGCTACTAAAGCCGCGAAGTAGTTCATGGTGTGGCACGGTCTTAACGAACATGAGATACGAGTCTTGAGGCAAGGCGTGGCGGCCTTCTAGAACACTGTTATGGACATAAGAAAGAGAGGGATGAAGCCAAACCTCAGAAAATGTCAAAGAAATTGTAGTTTGCTCGTTGTGGCTTTTCTTGAAAGGCATTTGTTTCTTCTGACTTACAGCTCTAATGGCTGAAATTGTTGTTCTAGCATTTGTAGCCAGAGGAACTAGAATAAAAGCAACGTAGAAAGATGGTATCCCTGCAGACGCCGAGAATTTCTGCACGCTCTGTATAAGAGGCTCAACTAGAAGCACTAATATAGTTATTCCGAGCACTAATAACATCGTAGCTATTGCCCTGGCTGATAGAGATTTGTCCACTTCATTCATCATCATCTACATTGTAATCCACACACTTACATATTGATTTTTAAAACCAAACCAAATCAAATGGACCCAAAAAATCCCACAAAGGTAAGATGCACATACATTTTACCTCTATCCCGGCTGTTCTGTGAAGACTATGAGAATATGTAGAACCCCATTAGATTACTCTCCAAAAGATCTCTTGAGTAGAAAAGAGATGTTCCAACATTCATAGAGGATAAATAGTCCAAGTCTAGCCGATGTGAGACTCTACCAACCCCCCAAACCCTGCAATGATGGCTAGATGGGCACAAATTGTCCCACGGTGTTAAGAGGGGACTAGACATGCACATAGTGTCGTAGAGTGGTAAAGTTTGACTCAGATATCATGTATGAATATGTGGAATCCCATTAGATTACTCTCCAAAAGATTCATTCAGAAAAGAAGGGAGGTTCCAACATTCATAGAGAAGAAATGGTCCAAGTGACATGGGAATCAAACAAAGATCCCACTTGCATATCAATTTACAGAAGGAAAAACATCAACATGTAGATAAATTCTTCAAAACCTTCATCCAGTGACATGTAATAAATAAGCCTCATGATGAGATTTTACTTACTTGGCGGCCTTCATTTGGGTGCTTCCGTGAAGTAGGAGCGAGATTTATAGGCAAATTGTGCCATTGTTTAATTCCAGCTATAAATTCTTCTACATCAAGCTCACCATTTTTGTTCTTGTCAAAATGGTTCATTATTTTCTCAGCTGCATCACCTTCATCCAATTTCATATCCGCAAGGTTGAAAGCCATAAATTTATTTCTTAGTTCAGATAAAGATATAGAGTTATCATGACCTTCATCAATGCTTTCAAATACCCTGAAAGGTTTAGTCAATATTCCAGTTACTTAAACCTTGTGGGATTAGCTCAACCGGCAATAAGGTTTGGGCTTTTGGGAATCCTCCTTAGAGGTCATCAGTTTGAGCCCTACAAACCCACCGGGGATTTTTCTGGCTGTTCTCTAGGCCCCAGGATTAGTCAAGGTGCTCGCAAGCTGTCCCGGATACCCATGGTTACCAAAAATAATAATAATAATTTAGTTAAGGAATCAAATGGGTAAGCAAACATCATTTTCTTACTTTCTTAAGGATTCTTCATTTGCTGGAAAGTTCTCAAGTAGAGAGCTATGAGAATGTTTTAATAATTCTGATGTTAAATGATTAATCATTTCTTCATCTCCCCTTTTCTGCTCAAGTAATTGTCGGGCAACCTAGAGAAAGAGTTTTAATAATGTAAAATGACCTCCAAAGCCATTATACTATGCAATATAATTCATGATCTAGTGGTAACGAAAATGATTCACTTGCATAATACCTACCACCTTGTTTCAGGGCAATTAGGTTCGTTAAGTACACCTCTTATCTCATTAATCCATTTCGTGACTCTATCACGAAATTCTTCCCAAGAGATTCGTTTGTCATCATTTTGATCGAATTCGTTGATCAATTTATCCATCACCTTTTCCCAATCCCAAGTTAACTTACTCAGCTTAATTTCTTCCAGAAGCTCCTTAAGTTCAAGATAGCATAGATGGTCATCACCATTATGATCCATCTTTTTGAAAAGACTGCAATATTATTCATAACATTTGTGAGGACGTGTGGTACTCCTTTAATCTATCTCTAAAATAGCTCTTATAGAGAGAGAGAGTGAGAGAGAGAGAGAGATGAGGTTGCTACATATACAGATTTGATGATTCTTGTCTAGCAGACTCCAAACAACATTTATCTGGAAACGCCTTCCAAAAGTCCTTAAACATAAGAAAGAACATATACGATAAAAAAGGAAAAAAATAGAAGAAGTTGGACCTTCTTATAGCAACTTCATTCGGTGCACCCCCTTCGGTGACGAGGGGTTTTGATATGTGTTCCTGCATGCGCTGAAGCATGTCAAAAACTAAGAGCTCATGCTCCACTTCTATATATCGTAGTCGTCTCACTTGTACTTGCTCATCAGACATCTGCAAAAGGGCCCAATAAATCAAAACAAAGACATGTTCTCGTTAACACATAAGTCTATCAGAAATGCCACGTTTGGTTCGTGGGACAGGACTGAACAAGAGACATGTTTGGAGTGACATTAGAATGGGATAGGATATAATTGAAATGGAACAAAACAACATTCTTTTGTCCCACCAAAATAGAATGGGACAAGATAAGCAAATTACTAAAATACAGATGTCAAATTAAAACTCTAAAACCTTCTGTGAGTTTTTCACCCGCCTAGCTCACTCTCAGCCATCCAGTCCAACCTTGTCCACGTACCAAACTAACCCTAGAAAGCTAAGCTAAATTGATTCTATGTTGAATGATAACAATAAAACGAATTATCAAGGTGCACGTATTTCTAATACTTTCTTATTCAGCATGCTGATACTTCTTGCCACTTTTATCTATATATAGGTGGAGATTCAAACAAGAACACCCGCATTTTACGAAAATGTGAGCACACCCTTTATCATATGTGATAATACACTTGAGGGATCTGGTGATGTGAGGAGGGCGACTTGGCACACGACCTAGGTCACTCACATCTCTGATTTAGTATCACATGTGATAATACACTTGAGGGATCTGGTGGTGTGAGGGCGAGTTAGCATGCGACCTAGGTCGCTCACATCTCTGATTTAGTGTCACATGTGATTGACTATAGTAGAAGGGTGTTGTTGCTTTTTCAGTAAATAAAGGTGTTCTCCTTTGAACCATTCCCTAGAATCCAATGTGGTACTGTGCATACCTTGTACACGTGCGCAAGAAAGATTATAGCCGAGAAAATGAGGGCGATTAGAATGTAAATCTTATAACCTCCAGAAGAATTTGACACATCAAATATCTTTGGGATTAGGATAATTATAAATGGTACAAGTGAAACAAGCATAATTCTTGCTGTTTCACTAGTCTCCACATCTGTAATTACACCAGAGCCTGTTAAACGAGAAAGAAAGGAATTAATATGACAATATCAATAAACATGCCAATTTAATACAAAATTCGAGTGATTCATAATGGACCAGATGGCTAGAGGAACAAACCACTCCATGGTAATGATGATTGTCTACTCTGTATGGGATTGGAATGAAATTTTTGACTGCCAACAATAACACAAGTTCCCCATAACAATGTTAGGAGAAATATAGTTGATCCTGTTAGCAAGCCAACTCCAGTTTTCACATATTCTTGAGCTTCTTCTTTACTGGCCACAAGTCCAGATACTACAGATATACAGATACCATAATGTTAGAATATATTAGAAAAGATGTACCTATCCTTTTCCTCATAATCAAGGATTCAATCAACATAAATACAAAGATATACATTAAATACAATATATTCTAACACAGAAGATGAGAAAAAAGAGGTAAAATAAGGAGAAAAGCAGTTTGTTTGCAATACAAAGCAAGTGTTAAGCACCATCTATTGTCCAGGGTCTTAAAGCTATATGACACACCTACTTTCTAATGATCACTACCACCCATTGAAGCTTTTAAAATCCACTAGGGTAACTGCAAACGAATTGCTAAAATGGCATGTAAGCAAAAGTGGCAGATGTGACAAAATCTAACTAAGAAATTATAGTTTTGGTGATTTAATGGATTGCAAATGGATTACTAATGTGATATCAACACATTTTTGCCGATGTAGCACAGAAACTGTGGGGTATAATTTCCTAATAAGAAATTGCTTTTGGTAACTGCTAACTTCACATCTCTAGTTAAGTTCAACACCTTTAAGTATTTAAGGAGATACTACCAGTTATAAAAAGAATTGCAGCCTAGTCAACAAGATTCTCACCTTCCCTTCATTTGCTTACACACTGTTGGGTATGTATTTGTATAGCAAAAGCAATAAAGAGAAAATAATGCATGGAAAAGTTAATTCATTGAATCCTAACATATTTTATGCACTTTATAAAGATTAAATGGCAATAAATAAGACAGATTTGTACCAAGAACTATCAAGGACTCTGGAAGGGGGTCAAGAACAGGGAAAGCACTTGCACCAAAGACACCAGGACCAAGAATCTCAAAAAGCCGCGAACCTCCAGAGATGACAAGGGACTCTCCTTGAAATAATAGGTACTCATAAACCACAATAAGGAAGAAGTGACCAACAAGAGTACTAGAACATGGGAGGAATCCGTACATTTGCTCACTACAATAGTACTCCTCAGAATAATCCATTCCTTTGAGACGTAGAAAGGAGGATTGCTCTGGTTGAGTATGGCCACTGATGCCATCCACATCCAATTCTCGAGTGTTGTCATGAAGGTATCGGCCTGCTACATTTACGGCTAAAAGGGAAAGAATAAGGAAAGTGTAATAACAAGTTGTGACATCTCTGCTTGCTGCAAGTAGTAATTTTCTCATGTTCATAATCAGATCGTTTTAGTATGTTCATGTGTGTTCAACAATGAATCCATACATGCATATTATATAACAGCCAGCTAGAGCCCACATACACCATTTGTGCAAGATAACTAGACTAATCATGGAGATAACATAATGAAATCACAGTCAAGCATAAATTGACTTCTCTCTCTTTTTCTAAAAGCCTAAGAAGTGGGACATATTTATGAAATATTTTATCACCATTTGAGCAGACATTATTACATTTTACAAATTGCAATTATTTCTTGAAAGACTATTCACTTTTAAAAAATAGAGCAACCACATTACGTGTCAGCAATAATTGATCAAACTTTGAACCAACCAGCTTAAAATTTGGTATTTGACCTTCAACAACAGCCAATTAAATATTCTCCGTAAAGTTTTCCACCTTAAAATCTAGAAGGAATTGAAGGTTTATTGTAACAAATTTTCATTTCTTCAATTACAAATTAACAAAACGATTCCAAACTTATTGCTGATTTACGTTTCTTCAATTGCCAAAACTCATATCATCAAGAGCGATTACGTAAACAACGCCTTTTAACCACGATTTATTACAGCGTATAATCTACAACGTCACGTAATAATCAGTTTTGTAAAGCAAGTCCAAACACCCTGGTTGTTAACGATGTATAAGAATTCCACTACTTTTACCGACTACAATACTAACTAGTATAAAGAATTTGACAATTTAAGTGAATAAGTATAACATAATTAGGGATCATCAATTCTTTTACCTCCAAATAAACAATTCAATTAAAATCTGTAATAAATCATCGGAGTTTCTCCCTTCTTCTGTAACCTGATAATCCAGAATTCAAGGATTAGAAACGATTTGTTAGAATTGAGCGAATGTTTCGTTGTTCCAGAATCCAAGAACAATAAAATGATGGTGGAAGTTGATACGCTTTCCCTTTCCCTTTCTGATCAGAAAAAGGAGGGTTTATGAGTCGTAAAAGCCTGATTCAAAGTGTTGCTTCGATCATCAGTTCCTCATTGGTGTTTGGGATTTGCTTACTTATGATTTTCTACAACTACAAAAATTCTTATTATCGATTTGGCATCAATATAAATTGTTTATCCAAACATTTAAAAGTGATTATTAACGATGTCACACCAAAATAAGTCAATAAGTTATTTTTATAAACAATCCTAAATACCTCAAATTTTCTGTTAAGCAAAAATTAAGTCGTTTATTTGGTTAAATTTATGTGTTGGGATTCTTTTTTCTTAAATTTATGACATGAATTTTTTGTCTATAATTTATGCTAAGAACTAAAATTGGTAAGAACTAAGTCATATTACCTTACTTGATGAATATGATAAGAACTAAAAATTTTACCCAGTAAGTGAGGGCAACGACTCTTACCACGGTAAGCGTTTACCGGGTGAATTGTTGCATACAATGTTGTTTTAATGGATTAAAATTTTTTAGTAGGTAAGTAAATAATAATAGAGTTAAGTTTTACAAGTAAGCACTTACCAGGTAAGTGTTTGGTAAACGACCCCTAAATCATATTTGTGAATATCGAAATACAATACCCAAAACAAAGAAATGATAATATATCTATACCATCTTATAAAGCATTTGACTAAAACTCTTAAAAACTCTTAAACCCTTCTCATATCTGAATTCGTGTAACTAACTGCAGATAAACACAATTAAATACATGATAAACATCTCATTTTAAATATAAAAAATCTAAAATATACTTAATTTTTATATTTATAAAATTTATAATATTAAACCAAAAATAAATTGTTTTATTATTAAACTTAAATTAAATTATATATAAACAAATATTTTATATTATAAATTATTTGACAAAAACTCTTAAAACCCACTTTTTATGCGTAAAGTACTGTTTATTAATACATATTACTTAAAACTCAAAATTACAAGTAAATTGTGCGTAGGTACAACTTATTAAAGCTCCATATCTGAATTCGTGTAACTAACTGCAGATAAACACAATCAAATACAGGATAAACATCTCATTTTAAATATAAAAAAT